ACATTGAATCATAGCCAAGCGAGACTGCAAGTCTAAATTTTCTTTTTCCGAGAGTGCCTTCTCTTTCTGTATCTTATCCCTATTTTCTATAGCCCGGCGATAAGCAGTCAACAAACACCAACCTCGCCGTGCCAAAAAAGAAACCTCATCTTTCACTTTCCTTTCCACTGTCTGCAAAGCTTTGGTCACATCCAACGGTTCAAATCGTCGCAGACGAGCATCCCAAGCTTCACATAGCCCTGACCTACGAGCCCACTCCCCAGCCAGAGTGCAAAAGGGAGGGTCCTCCCATCCTGGAATTTCTTCCACCTTGACTTCAGTTAACTGTAAATCTGAATTTTCTTTTTCCAAGAGTGCCTTCTCTTTCTGTATCTTATCCCTATCTTCTATAGCCCAGCGATATTCTGTTTCCAAGAGTGCCTTCTCTTTCTGTACCTTATCCCTATCTTCTATAGCCCGGTGATAAGCAGTCAACAAACACCAACCTTGCCGTGCCAAAAAAGAAACATCATCTTTCTTTTTCCTTTCCACCGTCTGCAAAGCTTTGGTCACATCCAACGGTTCAAATCGTCGCAGACGAGCATCCCAAGCTTCACATAACCCTGACCTGCGAGCCCACTCCCCAGCCAGAGTGCAAAAGGGAGGGTCCTCCCATCCTGGAATTTCTTCCACCTTGGCTTCAGTTACCTTTCGTTTGAATAGGAAAGGCATCTCCTTAATCGAATCCTGCTCACAGTGCCAATTATGTTATGAGAGGTTCGGGGATTCGATCGGAGATGTAAAAGACACTTTCCACTCCAAACAAATGGACCGAAGGTATATTTTATTATGTAGAGGATAGTAAAGGCGACAGTCTGCAAACAGATCCAAATAGGTCAAATATTAAGAGGGAAAAAACATCAGCCCGACTGGAAAGGGAAAACACCCACATCGGCTGAAGAGAAATGATACAAATCAACCGGAAAGAGAAACACCAGGCTGACCAAAAAGAGAACACATCAAATCAATTACTTCATATCAAATCAATTACTTCACATCAAATCAGTTACTCACAACATCCACGCCCCACTGCCAGGAGAGCCCTGTCAATCGACGCGGCTGGGCAAGGATCACACGTCCTGGGCAAGGCATCCCTTCCACAGGTGGAACTCTCACTAGGGCTCAGTTTCCAGCAGTTTTTATACCATCAGTAATTTTCAGAGTAAGCAATTACAGAGTTTGCAGAGCAAGCATTTAGTGTTTCCATGCACAAATGGTTATCAGTGGCATACGTGCACTGAGCCCCCTGGCTAACGTCCCAGCCCAGTAGTTGTGTACGTGCATTGTTCTCTTTGGTTATCGTCCTAGCCCGGCACAGATGGCCAGTCCATTCCAGGCTACGACGCTCCAAGAGCCTTGAAATGTTACAACTTGCAACTCTCTCCGTGGGAGAAGGGCCAGTTCCCGGGAAAAGGCCAGTTCCCACCACACAGAAAGCAGCTTTGTATTTCTTTTTGTGCTGGTGGCTGTAGGTCGATGGAGCGGCCAAACATGGCTGTACTCATGTCAAGACAGCGTGTATACCCAGTTGCTCTACACTCAAAATAGTTGTGAGATTACAACACCATTAACAATGTCTAAGTCAACCTAGGAGTTGTTTTGTTTATGGAATACATACCATTAAGGGTTTACAGTCAAAATACTGTATTTTAAAAGCTGCTTGACTTAATTATTCTCTTTGTATGGTTATGTTATCAATCTAATATACAGTTGGGCTTATGTTTTTCTGTTTGCAATCAATTTATGTTCACTTTTTGCATCCATTTTAATTTTTTTTAAGTATGTAAAATATTTACAGGGTTCAAAAATCAAAACTGTAAAAAGTATTTAGAGACATTTTACTTCCATCTGTATCTTAGTTTCTGGTTATCTTGCCTGTTTTCTTTTTGCATAAGTAAACATATATTTATGTATATTTATGTGCAAATGTATTCTTATTTTCCCTTCTCACATATTGCCAATTTTTTTTTTCACAACTAATGCCTCAATGAATTAAAAAACCTTGTGCATCTTTTATTTCATATTATGGACTTCTATCTTCAAGGTAAATACCTAGAAATGGAATTGCTGGGTCAAAGGGTACATGCATAAGGTGTTTTGTTAGGTCTTGCCAGATTCCGCTTCACAGGGCTGATCCGTTTTGCAGGCCCGTTGGGGGTGTGGGAGAATGCCTGTCTCCCCACAGCCGTACCAACAGAGAGTGCAGCCAAGCTTTTAGAGTTTTACTGGCCTGAAAAGAAAGAAATGGTGTCTCAGTGTAGTTTTAATGTCCATTTCTCTTATTTTGAATGAAATAGGGCATCTTTTCATATGTTTAAGTACCATTGGCATATCTTTTTCTATGAATTCTCTGTTTATGTCTTTCCCCCCCCAGTTTTACTGTGATATAATTGACACATAACGTCATATAAGTTTAAGGTGTACAACATAATAATTTGATATATATTTTATTTTATATATATATATATAGAGAGAGAGAGAGAGAGAGAGAGAGAAAGAAAGAAATGATTACCACAATAGGTTTAGTTAACATCCATCACCTCACATGGCTACAAATTTTGTTGTTGTTGTTTATGTCTTTTATCCACTTTTCTGTTTTTTTTCATCTTTCTCAATTTTTTAGGAATTCTTTGTAAATTAGAATGACTAGTCCTTTTTCTGTGATATAACTTGTAAGTATTTTCTCCCATTTTGTCATTGTCTAATGACTGAAAGTCTGTTCTCTTAACTGCTGTGTTATCACTTGTGCAGCTGAGAATAATATGCTTATGTAGGACCTTATTTTGAGACACCAATTAATTTACTTATAAGAGTTAACAAAATGCAGAACTCACAAAAGAAAGACAAATCCCAGAAATATCCTTACAAAGGCACAGACGTAGAAGGCATGCCTATAAAGTATATTCATGGCACAAAGCTGGAGTAACTAACATATTGCATAACTGAATCATGTAAAATTCAGAATATTTTAGCAGCCTGGAAATATGGGCCAAAATGCACAGAATGAAATTTAGTGAAATAGTAGTTTGTATTTAGGCTCAAAAACATTAATTCCGTAAGTTCAAGATTGAGGACACCTGCCTTCACAGAAATTCATATGTGTATAAACTTTGAGTTTTAGTTGACCACACACTTATATAGGCCCAACAGAGTGATATAGTTGCTAAAAGAAAATGCATTCTTTTTTTTGTTTTTTGTGAGGAAGATTAGCCCTGAGCTAACATCTGTTGCCAATCCTCCTCTTTTTGGTGAGGAAGACTGGCCCTGAGCTAACATCCGTGCCCATCTTCCTCTGCTTTATATGGGACGCCACCACAGCATGGCTTGACAAGCCGTGCATTGGTGCGTGCCTGGGATCCGAACCTGTGAACCCTGGGCCGCCAAAGTGGAGCATGTGCACCTAACCACTGCGCCACTGGCCGGCCCCTGAGAAAATGCATTCTTAAGAGTGAATGGTAGGAGGAAATTATCCTGATCATGGAGAAAACTGCCCCCTTGTACTTGACACTCACCAGACCACGTCCAGAATGGTACGTCCGGTTTTGGGGACCACAAATCAAGAGGGTCGTAGACATTGTGAGCAAGTCCAAAGCAGAGTTAGTGAAGGGTCTAGAAGTCATATCAGGAGCCTGGGAGATTTAATCTAATTAAGGGAAAGCAAGTAACTTGTAAAGTATTTGAAGGTTGTCAAGTCAAGGAGGGATTTGAATTATTTGGTCCTGCTCAAGCAAGCGCACCTAGGATCTGTGGTGATAACCTATAATGGTCAGGTTCACTATTAAGGGAAACTTTCTAACTGGCATTTAGGACTGCTGGTAAGGGGAGAGCTGCCTTCTTAACCTACCAGCTCCCTGTGGCTAAACGTATTTGGATAGAGGTGTCAGGTCAACCGGCGGGGGAAGGGGGGGTGCTGTGGGGAAGGAAGGTTCTGCTGCCCTGTGCAGGCAGTGTAGGCACCGGGGTTCTTGTGGTCTGCCTCAGGGAAAGCAATCTTTTCTTTCTTTCTGGTATCTTCTGTTGGGAACAAGAGCAGGTGGGGGGAGTGATCTGTGGGATTTTTTTGACTGATTAAAGTAGATGAAAATTTTGGAGAAACATTTGTAGGATTTAATGTTAAAATGTGTCAACCTTGAGTTTTAGCCAGGATCTCGAGCCAGCGTCCTGACAACAGAGACTGCACCTTGTGGAGAATGGTATCTGTGGGCCAAGACCTCAACCTGTGCCTCCACTGACCGTTTATAGTTAGTGCTTGCACCCTGGCCCTCCCTCACCATGTCTCACGAGAGCCGCTCACGATATCTCAGTGTGAATTGTACTGATTTGAACTTTGCTCAGGGACCTCGGAATAGTCCCTGTGGTCATCTTGTTGTCTCTGATGGGCACACGAATCAACTGGGGGTGAAACCAAAATGCAGGTTCTGAGTCTGTGAGTCAGAGGTGGGCGTGAGGTTCTGCATCTCTCGTAAGCCCCAGGCGATGCTCATGCTGCTGCTTCGGGGACCACCCGGAGTTGCCAGGGGCCGAAAGCACAGTGCACAATGCATCCCCCACAGACCTCGCCACAGCATCACCTGCCCTCTGCTTGTTTAAAATGCAGATTCCTAAACTGAACCTCTGCTCCCTGGGGCCAGAGTCTCTAGTGGTGGAGCCGAAGAATCAGCTCTTCCAGCTGGCACTCCAGGTGATTCTTAAGTACGTTCCGTTAATGGTTTTAAACTGCTGGCCTTGGGAAAGTTGATAGGGAGGTTTAACTAGAGGAACGCATCGTCTGAGGGGACACGTTGAGTTGCACACAAAGTTGATTGTGGAAATAGGCCACTTATGTAGCTTGAGTGGGGAAGACTGGCTGAGAGTCTCTGGACCGGGGGGTGACCTGGGTCCTCAGCTGCTCCTCTGTAAAGTGCATATGATATGACTTGACGAATCTTTTCCTGTGCCCTGGTCTTACTTTGTTTTTCCAGTCATCCAGCATGTTCTGCCCACCCCACACCGAGGCGCACTGACCATGAGCCTCAACTCCTCCCTCGGCCACAGGAAGGAGCTGAGTAACCTCACCGAGGAGGAGGGTGGTGAAGGGGGTGTCATCGTCACGGAGTTCATCGCTATCATTATCATCACCATTTTTGTCTGCCTGGGCAACCTGGTCATCGTGGTCACCTTGTACAAGAAGTCCTACCTCCTCACCCTCAGCAACAAGTTCGTCTTCAGCCTGACCCTGTCCAACTTCCTGCTGTCCGTGTTGGTGCTGCCTTTCGTGGTGACCAGCTCCGTCCGGCGGGAATGGATCTTTGGTGTGGTGTGGTGCAACTTCTCCGCCCTCCTCTACCTGCTGATCAGCTCGGCCAGCATGCTCACCCTCGGAGTCATTGCTGTCGACCGGTAAGCTGGCCTCAGACGTAGAGAACTGAGGAATGTGTGCAGAGGGGGATCCTGAGTGACCCTCTGCTCTGTGACTTTCCAGCTGTCTTAGTTCCTTTGCAGAGTGTCGGGGGTCTCTGCTGGGAGAGGAGAAGACAGCAGAGCTCTGCCTCTTCTCCCATCTCCCATCCCTTCAGCCAGAGCCCCTCTGATTTATCTGATCTGTATTGCATATAGTTTTATCTTTTTAAAAGAGGCTCTATTGCTTAAAAAAAAAGTTCTGGAAACCTCTGATTCTCAGTTTCTAGATGAGGAACAGAAGCTGGGAAGCTGTCATGTCAGAGGGCTTATTAGGTCCAGGTCTTTCCCAATGTGCTGCCTGCTGTCTGTTGCTTTGGTTTGGGCCAGAACCAGACTGGGGAGCCCAGAGAGGAAGCACTGTCACTCCTCTGCAGAATAGGGGCCTTAAAAATCAGCTCAGTCCAGGACGGAAGGAGAGCAAGGGAAGGAAGATAACCCAGGGAATAAAGACAGTGGCACCTGGAGAGATGGTGTGCACTTTTAAAAATCTGGGTTGTCCCTCCCCGAGGTATAGCTGGCTCAAAGAGTAAGAAATGGTGCTGCTAGATATCGCTCCTCAGCGATATCTAGCAAGTTCTTTCAGCTTCTGCAGTGTGCTGTCAGATTTAGTTGTGTGAGTCTTGCAGGCTTTGACAGCAGGTTTCCAACCCTTAGATTCATCTTGTTCATTAGGATTTTGCTGATGGTCACTTCATTCCTCACAGGCAAGGGTTTGGCTTCACGAGGGCAGAGGGTGTAGGTTCAGGTTATGTGTGATTTGGGGAGGAAGCTGGCAGTGGAGTCAGGGGAAACACAGAGGGGTCTGGCCAGGGGTGTTGTCACTGGGTGACACAAGTCCCCTGGCTCCCTTGGGCCCATCAATTTTTTGGCTGAAGGTGGTGTCTGGATTGTCCATCCAGAGTGCAGGCCTCTGCTTGGCCCAGGGCCGGAATCCCGTTGGCTCTCTGCGTCTGTGGGGAACGTAGAGTGGAGGAGGCAATTGGTCAGAACTAGTCAGGTAGCTCTTCTAAATATCTTTTTTTCCGCCAATAATAAAAGTAATACAGAACATATGAAGAATAAAATAAGAAATAGCCATAATCCCACCAATCAGAAGCAATCACTGTTCATGTTTTTAGTATATCTGCCTCTAGTCATTTTTGGCTGCACACAGTAAATTTTTAAAATCGGCTCACGGCACATGTGACCCTCTTTGTCACTTAACAAGCAGTTATGAACATTTTCTCCCACCTGCCAATGTCCTTTGACAGCGTGATTTTTAATGGTTACGTGGTAGCCCCTCCTGTGGCTGTAGTAGTGTAATTTATTTTTACATTCTCCTGTGAGCTTACTGTCACGTATAGTACTTCTGAGGACCGTGTATGTTTGTGGAATTGTTGTCTTTTCAGTAAGAGTAAACACACTTGCAAGATTCTTACGTATCAAAGGCAGGTTGCCCTTCAGAAGGTTGTGCAGACTTTTACTCCAGCACCATTTGTCAGCATTCTACCAAGACTGATTGTGTAAGGTTAAAAAAAGAATTGGAAGTTTGTTGGCAGTGGGGAAGAATGGGATCTTATTGTTTTTTTAAAAATCACTGATTTTTGAATGTCTCTTCCCAGGCCCTGGGTCCTGTGGAACATAGAGTGAGGGCAAACAGCTCAGAGCAGAGCAGGGGCATTGGTTTTTAAGTGCCTCTCGCAGGGCTGTCTCTATCTGGATGCTCGGTAATTAGAGCCAGCTGTCTGCAGCTGCAGCTCTAGGAGGCTGTAAGTTGCTTGCTTGGATCTGGGGTCTAGATCAGCGAGAGAGAGATTTTTCACCAGAAAGCATGACAAATCCTCAAACCATGCCATCAAAATGCATCATCCAGGGAGGGTTACCTCTTTCAGTGCCTTATTCTTTCCTGCTGGGAATATTTGTCGGATGTCTGTTCTGTGAAAGGCCGTGTGCTAAATCCTTGGTCGGTAGGCTACGAGTGTGGACGGGACACAGACTCTGCCTACCAGGAGTTGACAGTTCGTGGCAGAGGCAGCCCTGTGAGTGCTGACATGAACACAGAGCAGAAACGACCACCTTGACAGCTCCACTTGCTGCTTCCGATGGCGGGGCAGGGCGCTGTGGGAAAGGTGGCATTTGAGCTAAGTCCTAACAGTGAGTAGGCTCTTGCGGGCATGGAAGAGGTGGAACGGGCCCTTCTGACTGAAGGAGCAGCCTCCATTTATTAATTCGATACACAATTAATGAGCACCTAATGTATGCCTGGTACAGTGGTTGGTGCTGGGATCACCCAGCTGAATAAGATGAATAAACGTGCTGAGGAATTCACAGTGTAGGGGAGAAGGACGTGTGATCAGATAATTTTAGGATCATATGATGTGTATATGATGCCAGTATGTTTAAGGTACTGTGAGAATGCAGAGGAAAGAGCAAGACAACGTGGTGAAAATGCAGGGCATGTGTGCTGACCCAGCTGGAGACCAGGGGAAATGGCTCTGAATGGAAGAGGTGACATGTATGAACAAGTTGGCACCACATTCATCCCACTAGGGCTTTAATCCAGGCACCACAGGCCCCACGACCTGGCCCCGGGGTCACCCTGTGATGAGCTGTGAGTTGGGGAAGGACTTCTGCATCACTGTGATGATGACAAGTTATCAAGGCCTGGTTATCTTTGGAAAGTGGTTCATTTCCTCCTGCAAGCACAGCGGGAAGGATTCATAGTGCTTTGGCCAGATCTTTATGACTGTGATGTATAGACTGCTGTAAAATTTGGTATCCTCAAATAATTTCATGGCAGATGCAATTGATTTTTTATTCTTGGTCATTCATGTGGCTTAAAAATACAAATTGACTGGACCAGTTAACTTGATCACATTCATATAAATGACCACCGTTTGACCAGGTATTTATATGCTCCTTCCTCTGACATCTTTTTTTCAGCAAATTAATTTTACTTGATGTTAATTTTGGAGGTCACATATTTGCCCTCTATGTTGGGAACCTAAAGGTGAACCTCATATGTGTGTGAGTGAGTGAGAGAGAGAGGTGGAGACAGAGACAGAGATAGAGACAGAGACAGAGAGAAGTGGAGGGGGTGGGGAGAGGGAGAGAGAGAGAGAGAGGAGAAGGCAGTAGTAAAAGATAAATGAGGAGAGAGGAATACCAGAGAGCATGGGAGTGGAGGAGAGGGATGGGACGTTATTGAGAAAGAAAAAGTGGAGAACAGCAAGGGCAGTGGTCACCGTCTTCACTGAGAAGTGTTTGGTGCTGATCACTTGTGAGGCATTGCACTCGGCTATTAATCAACATTTATCCCAGCTAATCCTCACCACAACCCTATTAGCCCCCATTTTGCAGATGAGCAAAGTGAGGTTTTGTAAACTTGCCTGAGGCCACATGGCTGGTAAGTAACTCGCCCAGTTCTGAGATGCTAAGGGCTGGGCCCTTGATCGTTACACGATACTGCAAAGTCAGCTGTCAGTCAAATCCACAACAGTCAGTTTAGCTAACTGTTGGGTTAGCTAAACAGGGTTTCTCAACCACAGCACTATTGACATTTGGGGCTGGATCATTCTTTGGTGAGGAGTGGTCCTGTGCCCTGTAGGATGTTTAGCAGCATCCCTGGCCTCTACTCACTAGATGCCAGTAGTGCCTCCCCAGTTGTGACAACCCGAATGTCTCCAGACATTGCCACATGTCCCGAGGGGGACAGATCGTCCCCAGTTGAGAACCCTAGCTAAAGAAATTTGTCAAACTGGTTGGCAGATGAGCCAGAAGAGTCCATCTTGTAGCCCCATGAAGAGAGAGCAGAGGCAGAGTATAAACAGAAGAGCTGAGCAGAGTGAGACTGGCCACTGAAATGTCAGTGTCCTAAACCACATGGAAATAGGTCCAAGTGGGGAATGTCATTCAACCTGGCAAGAACGTTACTGTGAATAAGTCTGTGACGTGCTCACCTCTAGCTTAGCCTTGAAACTGCCGGGGCTCCAGGTCCATTTAAAATATTTCTTATGTCTTCATTCCACACTGGGGTGAATGAAACTCCAGCTCTAAAGATAGTATATTAATAAATGAAAGCAGGGGCTGGCCCAGTGGCGCAAGCGGTTAAGTGAGCGCGCTCCGCTGCGGCGGCCTGCGGTTCACCGGTTCGGATCCTGGGCGTGCACTGACACACCGCTTGTCAAGCCATGCTGTGGTGGCGTCCCATATAAAGTGGAGGAAGATGGGCACGGATGTTAGCCCAGGGCCAGTCTTCCTCAGCAAAAAAAGAGGAGGATTGGCAGATGTTAGCACAGGGCTGATCTCCGCACACACACAAAAAATAAATAAAATAAATGAAAGTAGCTAGAACTATGGATGGTTAGTTGTAGTGAAGAAAATTGCTAGTGCTATCAGGAGACCGTTCAACGTAAGTGAACGTGTTCACCTCGAGGTAGCGGTAGTTGGCTTAGATTTTGTTCGTGTTTTTAGTGAAGGCATCTTATTAAAAACGGGGGTTATCAGAGTGATTGGTCTCATAGCAGGGGAGCCGAGGATTGGAGCCCCTGTGTGTGTTGCAACTTTACAGTTACACGTGACATCAGGAAAGCCTCTTTTGGGACCAGGGGTCGTGCTTGGGCTTATGTCCAAAAATGAGTTTTTGGAGAAAAGATCGAGAGCTTCAGAAGACAGTTAAGAGTATGGAAAACAAAGGAAATCCCTCTATGTTGCCTGCATTCACCTGCGGGGGAAGAGGGGGTTGCTTTTTTCCTGTATTTTCCTTTGAACCTGCGAGTAGCCCTAAATGAGGCTTAAGTTTAAAAAGTGAAATTTCAAATCTATGACATCCATTTTTTTGGGTGGTCAGATGTGGAAATGTTCTGTATCTTGATAGAGATGTAGATTTGTGCATTTTTAATATATATAAATTTTACCAAAAAACCTCCCTAAAACCAAAGTAACCTCTGGTGGGTGTGGATATATATGGGGGTTCTTCTGACTCGAGGAAACTGGCGGCTCAGGGGCCAGCACCACCCTTCCGGTTGTCGTGTTGGGACTTGGGCCTCAGGACTCAGCTGGGAGAAATCCTGTCGCACTGCAATTGTTCACTCTCAGAAGCTTAGTCAGTGAGTGATGGACATACCATTTGTTACAGTAAAGGAGAAGTCTTGCATAAAATCATAATAATAACTGGGTGTTGAGAATAGCCAGAAGCATGTGTTGCAAAGGACAGCATATTAATATAATTATGTTTACAACTGCCAAAACAGGGTTGGTCAAAGGAGCCAGAGACAGTTAACATTCCCCAAGCCCGGCCTCCCACGCCCAGCTGTACTGTCGCCCCTGAGGTGTCTTCAGGTCAGAGGGCCTGCACACTTTTTGAAGGGGCAGAGAAAAGTAGAAATCTCAAGTTCTTTATAAAAGTGAAGGGAACTTTGAGCCAGCCCTGCTGGCCTAGCGGTTAAAGTTCGGTGTGCTCTGCTTCAGTGGCCTGGGTTCAGTTCCTGGGCACAGAACCACACCACTCGTCTGTCAGTAGCCATGCTGTGGTGGCGGCTCATGTAGAAGAGCTAGAAGGACTTACAACTAGAATATACAGCTATGTACTGGAGCTTTGGGGAGGAAAAAATAAAAATAAAAAGAGAGGAAGATTGGCAACAGATGTTAGCTCAGGGCAAATCTTTTCCAGCAAAAAAAAAAAAAAAGAAAGCAGAAGCCAGCTGACAACTGAGCTGTTAAAAAAAAAGAAAGTGAAGGAAACTTGCCGGAAGCACTCCCCAGTCCCACCCAAGCAAACTCCCCTCACATTTTATTTGCCTAGATGATGTCACACAGGTTTTGCCTAGATGATGTCACACAGGTCAGTGTCTCAGCCCGTCACCTGACAAGGGGTGGAAGACCACCAGAATGGCCTGATTCATCCCCCAGGACTCAGAAGGACCCAGCGTCCCCTGTGGTCATGGCAGTTTTGCAGGAGCACGAATAAGATGGGGTTCTGTCCTCAAGAAGGAAGGGGGAAGGGTTGGTGGACTGGCGAGGACCAAGCTCTGCCCCTACTGCCATGTAAAGAGGAGGCAACCATCCAGGCCTTTCCCTCACTCTAGACCATTCCATCCGTGGAGCAGACCTGTGCTGGAGGTTGTGTGATTCTCATTTACAGGTGAAGGAACTGAAGCTCTGAGAGGTTAAGTCAGCTCCCCAAGGTCACATGGCTAGGAGACGGCAGAGCTGCCACCTATACCCAGAGATTTTCAACTGCAAAGCCATGCTGCTTTCGCTGGGCTGCATGGCCTTTGCAAGATGCAAAGCCAGATACCAGCGTGAGACGGTAATCGCTGCACCCAGGTCACGTGCAGTGATTCTGTAATCCACACCACGATCACGGTGGGATCCTCTCCTTGGGTCGCACACCCCCACATGCTGTCTTTCCAGCTTAGATCTTGGCCAGGGCTCCCTGCTCAAGGTCAGCAGCGCCAGGCTTACCTCTGATTAGAGGGGCCTTCATGGGGGGTGTAGACTGAGCTCCCCTGTGAGAGTCGGCTCAGGCAGCACGTGGCAGTTCGGGCTGTGGCCTCTTCCCTGAGCTGCTGGTGCCCAGCGGTGACTCAGGAAGGTGGAGAAGGTGGCTTCATAGGTGACGTGTGAGACTTGTAGCCACAGTCGTTTCCTAATGTCCTGCCTGTACCGGGCAGCATCAGTGTAGCCACCCCTGTCCCTACTATGCGTTGCCCGCATGGGGAAGCCTGTTCATTAAACAGCATTTCTCTCAGAGAAAACATCTGGGTAGGGGGTGCTGGTGTGCTTTCAACCCTGTGGTCTAAATCCTCCCACCCATTCCAGTTAAAGGGTCAGTCCTTAGCTGGCCAACCAGGCTCGGCACACCCCGGCCCCCGGCCCTGTGGCCTCTCATCTCCCCGCTCCTCCTGTGCTCCGCGCCTGCCCGGGGGAGCTCCGTGTAGCTTCCCGTTGAGCCCGTGCTCGGTCACATCTCCACGCCTCGCCAAGGCTGGCTTTCTGTCTTGGCTGCTCCTGGGCCAGTGCCTCTGATGTTTTGGGACCCAGGTTTGCGTGCATCTCCTCCAGGAAGCCCGCCCTGGCCCTGCAGTCTGGATCAGGTGCCCCGCCAGTTTGAATCAGTAGCTCTCCAAACCTTACTCCTTCATAACAAAGTGGAGGGATTAGGAACCACCCCTGGCTGTGGACTCCGGAACAAGATGGTTTGCAAGGAATTGCTGGCACGTGCATTGGGGACTGTAGGTCAGAATGCCTGGGTATGTATCTTGTTTCTTCCGCTTATCTGGGACAGGTTCTTGATCTTTTCTCTGCTTTGGTGTCCTCATCTGTAAAATGAGGATAGTGATAATACCCATCGCTTCGAACAGTTGTGAGGATTAAACACAGCCCTTCCACTCCAGACTCTCTCACTCTGCTCATGTGCCTCCTTCCCCCCATCTTCTCACCCGTATTTCCAGTGCAGAGCACAGCGCTTGGCACCAGCAGGCCTGCAGTAAACATTCATTGAATGAATGCCATAGTCCTTAGGTATTGTTCTGGTTTTTAATGACCCTCTGAAAACTGATCTAAGTGGATTAATGTCAGCAACACGGACGTGACCTGACTTGATGCTGATCCCTCGGGACTCCTGTAGATGCCTCAAGACTGACCGTACCCCCAAATATGGATGGGCTTTGGCACGGTGACTTGGAAACAGGACTGCGTGAGCCCTCTGTTCTTCCTGGCGTCCAGGTCTTCCCTGATGAAGAACCGCACAGAGCTGTGTGACATGGCACATGTCCAGGGAGAGCTGGGAGAAGGGGCTACTTTGAGAAGTATTCACCCCATGTCTGGGTTGGATGAGAGAAATTCAACAGGGCTCCCTGCCTAGGAAAACAGTGGGTGCCCATCCTGGTGTGTTTTCTCTATTTTGACTTCTCTCTCTCACCTCCCTCCATCCTATTTCTAGCTACTATGCTGTCCTGTACCCCATGCTGTACCCCATGAAGATCACGGGGAACCGAGCCGTGATGGCACTTGTCTACATCTGGCTTCACTCTCTCATCGGCTGCCTGCCACCTCTGTTTGGTTGGTCATCGGTGGAGTTTGACGAGTTCAAGTGGATGTGTGTGGCTGCGTGGCACCGGGAGCCTGGCTATACTGCCTTCTGGCAGATCTGGTGTGCTCTGTTCCCCTTTCTCGTCATGCTGGTGTGCTATGGCTTCATTTTCCGCGTGGCCAGGGTCAAGGCACGCAAGGTGCACTGTGGCACCGTGGTCATCGTGGAGGAGGACGCCCAGAGGAATGGGAGGAAGAACTCCAGCACCTCCACCTCCTCTTCGGGCAGTAGGAGGAACGCCTTTCAGGGTGTGGTCTATTCGGCCAACCAGTGCAAAGCCCTCATCACTATCCTGGTGGTCATCGGTGCCTTCATGGTCACCTGGGGCCCCTACATGGTTGTCATTACCTCGGAGGCCCTCTGGGGGAAGAACTATGTCTCCCCGACCCTGGAGACCTGGGCTACCTGGCTGTCCTTTACCAGCGCCATTTGCCACCCCCTGATCTATGGACTCTGGAACAAGACAGTTCGCAAGGAACTACTGGGCATGTGCTTTGGGGATCGGTATTACCGGGAACCGTTTGTGCAGCGGCAGAGGACTTCCAGACTCTTCAGCATTTCCAACAGGATCACAGGTAACTTGTCAGGAAAGGGCTGCCCATCCTCAGGTAGGTGTAGCCTGTGGCCGTCTTAGGGGCTCTGACATGTTGATAGGTGGCGTCTCAGACACTGTGGCCTTAAGGCTCAAAGCACAGGTTTCCTTTAGAGAAAGAACATCCCGGAGTGTCCAGTGTGATTCCCAAGAAGCTTTCCTGAGCTCAGCAGCTCAAGGCAGGGGACACCAGAGTTCAGAAACCCATCTTCTGTCACCCCAGCCATGGCCCACTGGCCTCGAGAATATAGTTACTTCTATCTAGAGAAAAAGAACCTGTGCATTGGACCAGACTACCTTCTCCTGTTGGCCAATCCTTTCCTTTTGGTGTTCTTTAAAGCAGAGTCCTCTTTAGAGTGCTCCCTCCCCTTCTCAGCTGCTCGGCTCTGAACATACTCCTCCTTGGGCCTTTCATCACAGTCAGTGGTTTCCTCGTATTGTCCCTAGTAATTCAGGGGTTGTCAATGCCAAGCCTCAGCCCTCCACCGCGCACTGAAATGTCACTCTCTTGTCTAGATGCAAAGCAGCTCCTCCATCTGGTAATTGATTTCAGAGCTAAGAAGTTTCTGCAGACAATCCGATCACCTTTAATGAGACCCAGAGGAAGTACTCTAATCAGGGATAGATCTTTTTAAACCTTTTTCTTTTGAAATAATTTTAGATTTAGAAAAGAGTTGGAAAAATAGTGCAGAGAATTCCCATCCACCCAGCTTCTCCTAGTGTTAACATCTTGCCTAACTGCGCACAGTTATCAAACCCAAGACATTAACATTGGTGCAGTGCTATTAGCTACAGACTTGATTTAGATTTCACCCATTTTTCCATTAATGTCCTTTTTCTTTGTCTTCTTCAGTCTTTGACAAGTCTTTGTTCTTTTCTTGTCTTCCATGGCATTGACACTGTTGTAGAGTACTGGTCAGGGCTTTTGTAGAATGCCCCTCAGTTTGTGTTTAGCTGATGTGATCTCAAGATTAGAATCAGGTGATACATTTTTGGCAAGAATATTGTGGGGGTGATCATATGTCAGTATGTCTTATTACTAGTTAATGTTACCCTTGACCTCTTGGTGAAATCTGCTTAGGCTGCTATAACAAAATACCATAGACGGGCAGCTTAAACAACAGACATTTATTTCTCATAGTTCAGGAGTCTGGAAGTCTGAGATCAGGGTGCCAGCATGGTTGGGTTCTGGTGAGGGCCCTCTTCTTGGCTGTCTTTTTGCTGTGTCCTCACATGGTGGGGGTGGTGGGGAGGATGGGAGAGAGCAAGCTCTCTGGTCTCTTCTTATGAGGACTCCACCCTCATGACCTCATCTAAACCTAATTACCTCCCAAAGGATCCACATCTGAGTATCAACACATTGGGGTTAGAGCTTCAATAGAAGAATTTGGAGGAGACACGGACATTTAGTCCATACAGTTAAGGTGATGTCTGCCCGGTTTCTCCACTGTTGAGTCACTATTTTTTTCCATTGAAATTAATAAATACAACAGAGGAGATACTCTGAGGCTATGCAGCTATCCTGTTTCTCCCTCAGCCTTCGCCCACTATTTTCCGCATGCCTCAGTGTATCTCGCCTCCAGCAGTTATTGCTGTAGTGTTCTCATGAGGAAGTAGCTGGATTTTTAGGGTCGTATTTGAGGGAGATGATCACCTGGATGAGCTTTTGGAAGAGAGGTTTTGAGGGCACTTATCAGATCATATTTACGGAAGGAGCCAGTTCAGACTGCAGTTCTAATCTCTTGCTGGATGACTTTGGGCAACTAAAACCACTCAAGTTAATTTTTTGTCTTCATGAAGTAGAGAGGTCTTCCACCTTCTCTCTCAAGAGGGTGGAAAGAAATAAGAACTCTTAATTATCATGAATACTCAGTGGTAGTGATGACAAGAGATCTTTTCCATGTGGCAATTAAACAAACCAACATCACTGATTTATTTCACGGACTGATGGAGTGTTACTTCTTGAGAGAGGAAAGAATTCTGGGACTTTTTATTTTGACCATAGGAGAAAAAAATCACTCTGGATCCCAGTATTTTAACCACTGAAATGCCCATCCCCTGCCACTGGCAAGACCATGTTTCCAAGTATGACTTGTGAGCCAAGAGTGCATTCAGGGTCTGGTTTCATTTTACTGATTAACTTACTTGTTCAGATTTTGTAAAATCACTTATCTTCTGGGCAAAAAATATTAAATGTTTTCCATTCCAATGAAGTTAAGAATGAGGAAGGGCAAAAAATGAGGAAAGAGAATGGAGGAGGAGAGGGTAGACAGAACAAAAAGAAACATCTGCTTTTTGGGCCAAGATTTTCCATGCAAGTCACTTGTGATTATCCTAGAAGAGTTCATGAGACTGTGAAAACAGGCGGAAAACACCAGCTGTGGTTGGGTTGGCAAGTCCAAGGCAGCTGGCAATCTCCTCCTCATTGAGGGAAAGGCAGTCTTGTGGGATGTTTTTGGGTTGAAGAGCACGTGGGATGGTGGGTTCTGAGTTGTTGGCCTTCTCCAGGATTGGGAGCTGGAGGGTCACTGTTGTCTCTTCCCCGAAGGTCCTGATCTCAGGAGAAGGCCAGTAGCATCAGTAAGAGTCTTGGAAACAGAGCAGAATGCAGTGCTCACCCCAGCCCCACACCCCACCCTGTCCATGGCAGGAATGCCGACTGTCTTTCTGATCAGGAGGGAGAACCCTGGCCTCCACCTCCTCCCCTGGTTCCTCTGGCTAAGCCTGGGCTGACCAAACTCTGGTCTAGTGCCCTCTGTGGGCATGACTTGGATCTGCAGAAGACTCCTAAACCCAGATCGGCTTTCCCTCCCCAGCCTGATTCTGGGCCACCTCCCTCACCCCCAGAAAATGCATGTGCTCTAGTGTTAGCACTGGGTAAGAAGGATGATAAGATCTATCCCAAAGTCATCAAGAAATGACTTGGAGGCCCTGTCTTGGTTTCGTTCCTATCTGTTTGCATGAGTACCTGGAAAGTTGTAACCGAAGGAACCGGGACATGGAATTACAAAGTTCCCCAACAGTGCTTATGAGCAAAGGCACAGTGGCATTCTGCAAAGATCTAGAGCTTCCCAGCTGACCCTGGGATGCTAGGAGTTTTATAAACACAATATCATGTTTATTTCATACGTAGATTTCAGCCACAATCAATGGATTTTGGTTTTCTCATTCTGTTAGCCCCAAATGGGGTGCCGGCGATCACTGAGCCACCAAAATACCTTCTGCTTGTGTGGTCTCCTTAGCAGATTCCCACAGGGCTCACCCAGGAATTTAGATCTCCAGGCCACCTCGAGGTTGCCAGGCAGTCCTGCCTCATGTGGATAGGTCAGCCCTGGAGTGGACATTGACTTCTAGTCTAACGGTTGGTCTTAGGACACCCACTGCAAATCCAGAGTGACCCAGGTGGCTACAGGCGATCAGAGCACAGAAGGGGCCTTCGGGAAAAAGGGCAGGCAGCTCTTGCAGCAGCTCTCCCACCAGCAGATCCAGACCTTCACTCGAGCCAGGGCGGCGAGCCCAGGCCCCACCCCCACCCCGGGCTTGCAGGGTGGCTTGGGCATCGTGGGAGGGCAGCCTCTCCAAATGCTGCTCTTGCCTGATGCTTGAAGCTCCTGGAATTGGAGATAGAGCCTTCCCGTTTATCTTCTGGGGAGGAGGACACCAACTCGTATTTACTCAGAGGAAATGCCCCACTCCAGGGCCACCTTTGAGAGGACCGGGCTGGAGGGAGGGAAGGCAACCCCAGGGCCTCTGAATTTTCCTGTCTTGCTTTTCCAAGTTCCTTTCCTGGTGCCACCTAGCTTCTGGTTACTTCAAAGTGCCTGTTTCACCTCAGGATTGCTCCTGTTCTTTTAGCCTCTAAAAGGCACTGGTGACTCTTCTGGCCACCCCCAGCTTCTGACCTAGTCCCTGGGCCTGTTGCTTTGTGTTTTTTAAAAAAAACTTCGTAAAAGGGGTTGGATTGGGCTCAGCCCAGTAGATATATTGTTGTTTCATGTGAAGAAACTCAGGGCAACGGTGCCCACTCGCCAGTGATTAATGCTGGACAAGCAGAATAGCGAGATGCCACCTGGCTGCCCTGTGTCCAGACCTTTTAGCTGAGCCACATCGGTCTGGGTCACATGATTCCTCCCCCTGCTGGATTCTAGGACATGTTTCTGGGGTTCACTGCAGCCTCAGAGATGGTGTCCAAACCCACTGTGGCCACAGCCATCCCAGTTCGCAGTGGATGGTCCCCACAGACCCCCCCTGCCCCCCCCCAGGCCATGCTTGCTGCTGAGCCATAGTCATATTCTGAGGCCAGGACCCTTGGAGGGAATGATCATGTTTGGGGTCTTCTCTGGTACCAGCTCTCTACACACCAGCCTCCAATAAATGGGAAGCCTTCTTGGAAAAGTGAGATTCCCAAATTTCATGAAAGGGAAGTTCTGAGTGAAGCCTGCTCTGCTGTCAGTTACTGCCCTTCCCTCCATGACCATCCTCCTCCTTGACTCTGGGGAAGAAGGGAAAGTGTATGTTCTATCAGCTTGTACCCTCAGAAGAATTAGGATGAAAGTAAAGAATGGAGTCCTCCCCTCTCTCTAAGTGCGCTGTGGGAGACTAGGGGGTGTCCTTTATGGTAGCTCATTAAATCCACTAGGCAGCAGGTCTCGAGAGATGGGAAGAGTTTACCTTTTGTGCCAGATTCTTAAATTCTAGGGGCTCCTTTTTGTTATCTCCGTGGTCTCCATAGCCTCCAGCTCTTTTCTTCATGGATTCATTTTTCTCTCAACTTTCTGAGGATACCCAGTTAGAATTTTTTTGTTTTCTTAAGCTCCCTGCATTGTCTTCCCTGAGATCCGTTTTTTTTCTTTTCTTTCTTTCCTTGTTATTCCCCCCATCTCTGTCTTTCGAGCTAGTGCCTTTCCTTAAATGCCTGGTGATCTTGGCCGTCCTTTCATTGTTAATAACGGGTCACCAGAAAACCCTTGGGAAGCCCTGGGCAGTGGAGCAGGAGGTGCATTGACCAGAGGGTGGTCGGTTGGGCCATTCCACGGGGCGCCCCCTCCCAGTGCCTGCAGGGCTTCCCTCGAGGGCTCCTTGGGTTTCCCTGGGGCAGAGTTCTCCAGTCTCCTGCCCAGGTTGAGGGAGGTAAGGGGACAGGGGTCCCACTGTTAACTCTGTGGACTCGCACTGTGCTGCCTCAGCTGTGCCTGTGTCTCCAAGGCCGGTCCCAGTTCTCTCCCTCCACCCTCCTGCCAGCCTGGGGGCCAGGCGCCAGGAACCTGGACTGGGAAGAGCAGGAGGGGATGCACCGCTCCCGATAGAGATGTTCTGTCGAGCTGCCTGCCTGCAGAGACTCCTGGGCCTCCAATTCCAGAGCTTTCCGGGGCCCTGGGTGAGAACCAGCCTCCTCCTAGGCCTCGCCCACTGCCAACCTCAGCTCTTTCCTGGGTCGGTTTCATTGCCCTCACCTGTACACTTTCCAGCTACAAACATTCTCTCCCCCTCTAGGGTTTAAGCCTCTTTAAAAAAAAAAAAGTCCCTTTTTGGTATTCCAGTAGGATTTCAGGAGGTAAACATGTACCCACGTTCCGTGTTTAACTGGAAGATCTCCCACGACTGTTGACCTCGCATTTTCTCTCCTACCTGCCTGGTTGGTGTTTACGGTGTCATGAGAGTTTCTCCATTGGGCGACCCAGTGAATCCCATCGCAGTGCATACTCCCCTGGGATAGGAACGAGGGGCAAGATGGGGAAAGCGCAGCTAAGGGCTTCCATCTTTCTGTGGGTAGAGAGCACAACTTGCAAGGGGAACAGAGGACAGGAGAGCGGGAGGTGAGGCCCGTCGGGACGAGCGGAGTGGGAGGGTCGGGGCCACCTTGGCAGCGCGAGGACTGCGCAGTCAGCGCCGGCTTTGCCTTTCAGACCTGGGCCTGTCCCCACACCTCACGGTGCTCATGGCAGGCGGACAGCCCCTGGGGAACAGCAGCAGCACCGGGGACACCGGCTTCAGCTGCTCTCAGGACTCGGGTAAGCCCCCACCTGTCGCGGTTCCGCGATGCCGGGTTGGGAGCTGGGAGGAGGGACGTCCCCCACGGTGCAGGGAAGGGGCATGGGGCGAGTCTAGACTCTGCATTTCCAGCGTTTCTGTGCCTCAGTTTTCTCGTCTATAAAATGGGGATCTCAGTTCCTGTTCTTTTTGCCACATAGGGTTGTTGTGAGATTCAAATTAAGGGAGAGCCTTTGAAAGGTTAAAATGCTAAATGATTGTGCGTTGTTACTGGAATGATAATAACCATCGGCTGGTACAGGCTCTGGAGTCGAGCTGCCTGGTTTTCAGTCTCTGATGGGCTGTGTTATCTTAGGAAAGTTGCTTCATCTCTTTCTAAACCCTCGAGTTTCCCCATTTGTGAAGTGGGGGTGGTAATCCCTATATCAAGGGTAGCTCCAGCAAGATCACGAGGTCAGATACCATCATTCCTTGTCACCATCATTCCACACCCTGCGCCCCTGCCTTCGAGAAACTCGGTCTCCACCACAGGCCTGCAAATCCCCCAGAGGATCGTGCAGACTCGGCCACTCCTCCTCTGAGCAGTGGGCTCCGTGAGTCAGAGCCTGCTCCTGGCTGCCCGTGGGAGCTGAGCGCCCCATCCTGTACCCGCCCAGTGCATTATTGGGCATCTCAGAGGCCCTGGGGAGAGGCACGAGGGCAGAGGCCGGCAGTGTGTGCCCATCCGCCAGACATTCATGGCCCCACATTGCTGAGGAAGCATGGCATCTGTCACCCATCCCGGGCTGGCGATCGTCCATGTGCTGGGTGTGAGGGGAGTGGGGCCCCATCCCGAACACGAAGTAGCGAGCTGGGCGGTGGGTATTTTGCTCTGTGCTCCTCCATCTCCGCTGCTGGGAGCTTTTGAAAACTCCTCCCCACCTGGACCCATGTCTCCTCACCTGAGCCTGTGTCATGGAACTCTGGGGGCCGACCCTGGGCAAGGACCGAGACCAGGCCTTCTGTCAAAGAGAATCTTCCCTGGAAGGAGAATATTCCCTGAGAATGTTCCCTCACCTGGCAGCCCAGCAGGCTGAACCACTTGTCACACTGTCCCCGCTAGCTCCCAAGTCCCTCCTGTGATTTGAAGTAAAGGAAGGTCTCTGTGACCCCCCAGCCTATTTCCTTTCTCAGACAACCAACAGGGATCCAGAGGCAGTGTGACATTCCTTCATTCAACAGATATTTATCTGCCAAGCCCCTGCATTAGCCATCACTGTCTTAGTTTCTGGAGAGTGAGTGGTGAACTGCCCCCGTGGGGCTTTCAGTCCAGTGGAGAAGACACACATCCATCCCATGCACTTTAAAGGGGGAATTGTATGGGATGTGGATTATACCTCAATAACTCCGCTATTAAAAAAAGATGATAACTGTGGTGAGAGCTATGGCAGGGGAAGCCGGAGTGCCAGGGGGACATGGAACGGGGGTGGGAGTGCTCTGGAGAGCAGCGTCAGGAAAGCTTCTCTGAGGAAGTGATGTTGAAACCTGAAGAGGAAGTAGGAGGTGGCCAGGCATAAGGAGCAAGGGGACAGTGAGGGGACAGCATTGTCAGCAGGAGGAAGAGCGTGGGCTTTGGGGTCACGCAGGCCAGAGCGTGAGTTTCAGCCCCGTCCTTTCTTAGCCGTGTCCTTATTAGTGGTGGCTTCCACTGACTTAGCACCTGCTCTGTGCCAGCCGCCGTGTCACATCTCTACACATCTTGACTCAGTGGTCACAACCACTCGGTGAGGTAGATTGAATTACAGTCCCCGTCTCACAGACGTGGGGAGACGCCGGGGATCGGTAACCTGCCCGTGACCCTCGGCCTGTCCGACTCTCGAGCCCGTGTGCCAGACCACCAGTCCTAACGCCGGCCGAGGAACGCCCCTGCTGGAGTGGAGGTCGACGTAACGCCTCTGCAGGTGGTTCTGAAACAACCTGAGGAGCTCCGGGCTCCCCCTTCTCCTAATTTCCTGAGCACTAAGGCCTTGTAGGGTGCAAAGCTGGAGCCTAAGACAGACCCAGGCTGGTCCCAACATCCGTCTCCTCCCTGCCCCGGCCCCGTCTCCCTCCCCCTGCCTGCTCTGCCCAGCTCTCTCCAGTAGGACCTCCTAACTCTCAGCCTTGATCTCTCCACTGTTTTAGGGGTATTTTTTCAATCCTTTTTTGATCCCCAAAGAACTTTACATTTTCAAATTTTAAATGTCTATTTAGCACAATGTGTTTTAACTACAATGATGGAAATTCACATTGTAAGAAGAAGCGCTTGGAACACAGAGCTCCTTCTAATAGGCCCTCCCCCCGGCCTCCACAGCGGGTCTGGCAGACTTAACACTTCTGAGTGTGCTAGTTGTGGCACATAGCGCCCCGCTCTGGATCACGTTGCTGTATTTTGTGGGTCTGAAGCAGGCCCATGGCTGGCTGCAGACTCCCTGAAGTGGGAGGATGGGCAGAGTGTTTCTCGGGCACATGCTGCAGGGCAGTGAGCGGCACCTGGTTGTGGGTCTGGATAAATGGAGGAGAGGGATGTGAAGGGTGTTGAGAGAGGGGAGAAGGAGTCAGCGACGAGGACCTCGTATTGCTGGTTATCTGTGCACAGTCTGCCCTTGGCTTTAGGAACAGACGTGATGCTGCTCGAGGACTACACTTCTGATGACAACCCTCCCTCCCACTGCACCTGCCCCCCCAAGAGGAGGAGCTCCGTGACGTTTGAGGATGAAGTAGACCAGATCAGAGGTTGGCTTCTGTGACTGATTGCTTCAGGACAACGTTGGGGAAGGGAAAGCATCTGAGGAAAATTCCTTGGTCAGCCCTGCCCCCAACCCCAACATCCCAGGGCTGCCACCTTCGCCCACCCCCATGAGTCCTCCCTGCCTGCCGGTCCCACCTGAGTCCTCAGGCTTCCCAGCTCTCGGAGCCAGCAGCGTCTAAGGCTGGGCAAGCAGTGGCTGTTGAAGCCTGCACCCCCCCGCCCCCCGCCCCCACGTAGGTCCTGGTCACACACGTCTAAGGCTGGGCAAGCAGTGGCTGTTGTAGTCTACACACCCAGCCACCCAGCCACCCAGGTCCTGGTCACACACGTCTAAGGCTGGGCAAGCAGTGGCTGCGGAAGTACACACACGCACGCATGCACGCATCCTGGTTCCCACCTCCTCCCTCAGGAAGTTGCCTGACTGGATAAAACAGTTTGCGAGCCCTCCATAGCGCCTTTACGGATGCTGTGCGGTTATAAATCTGAACTTGTCCTCTCTGAGCCTCAGCCTCCTCGTGTGAAGATGGAAGAGGTGGCCCAGGGGTGCACCTACTTGACCAGGGGCAGAGGCTGCCATCTCCATTGTCTGTTGCCCCTAAAGCTGAGGAGGGCCCTTGAGTCGTGAGAGGAGTGAGTTCTGCCACAGGCCAGTCCCTGCCTTTTTCTCTTCCTCCTGCTCTGAATTCAGCTCCAGCTCCTTGTCCCTCTGGAACTCAGGGTCTAGCTTCCCATCAGACATGCTGTCTGGAAGAGTGACGAAGGGGCGTGCAGGCTGCCTGCAGATGTACGAGTCCCTTCCCCAGATCCCACCGTGTGAGGACCCCACCAGCAGGGCTGGGTGTGGGTGTGGTGGAGTCGTCCAGGGAACTTAAGATACAAGTTCTTTAGAAATGCTGAGGGTGAAAATAAATATGGGCCCTGTCAGAGTCTTAGGTTTGTACTTAATCCCATCTCTTCTACCATGCCCTGCCTGAGTCCAGAGGAATGGAGGGGGAGTCACAGAGGTCGCTCTACTGGCAAAGTGGACTCAAGAACGGGGCTCGGACAGCAGCCTCTTGGGCTTTATAGTGTATTACCCCTGTGTGAAAAAATGAGTGCATCCCTCCCCAGTCCGCCCAGCCCACATTGGGCCAACCTCACCCCATCCAGCCTATGCGGTGGGGGAGGCAGTTCCCAAGGCACCCTCTCTGAGGCAGGGACGAGAGTGAGGCGGCTGTCAGACCGCATCGCCCCCCCGCCCCAAGAGTGGGGTGGAGCAGGGAGAGGCCACCTGTCCCTCCACTCTTTTCCCTCTTTTGTGTGTCTGAAACAGCCCCAGTGGCTGGCTTCAAAGTCCCTGAAATGGGATGACAGATGTTCGTCACAGCGGGTGGAAGTTGCCTACTCTTCAGAAAATATGAGGAGTGGGGGATAAATTGTTTCCCCCAAAATGTCAGAAGGAAAACAGGCAGTGAGGTTAATAATAGTAAGGTGCTAGGTGTGATATTGAAGACCCATCTCCCTCCCTCTCTGTTCATTTTAGTTGTCAAGGGTCCTAATCCTGGGGGGTGTTCTTGAGCCCTTGATGTTACTTCCAACTCTGAGGTTCTCTATGACGTTGGGGAATCTCTGAGCAGCGATGGACAGAAGAGAGACAGCACTCAGGTTTCTGGAGGTTCATAGCCATAGACACTACACTGCTCCAGGCAGCTGGAAGACCAGACTGCTCTTTCAGAGATATAAAATTCTGAATATCATTAATAGAAAGTATTTATCAAGGCTTTTCTATGGGCCAGACCAAGGCTAAGTATCTTAGAAAGAATTATGTAGTTGTCATAGTAACCCCCTGATGTAAGAGGTATACTGTGATCTTCTCTTTACAGATGAGGGAGGTTAGATTAAACTTCTGAGATTTCCCTGGTAATAAGTAGGAGAGTCAAGGATTTTAGCCTGGGGAATCTGACTTGAAACCCACACCCTTAACCTCAGTTGGGCTCCGTTCCCTGGGGCGTGAAGCAACAGTGGGCTTATTTTATATTCCTGGGGTGGCCACTGGTCCTGGCCCCTCCACTAACCTTTCCTCTGCCTTCTCCCTCAGAAGCTGCCAAGAACCCTATTCTTCACGTGAAGGCCGACGTGCACAAGTCCTTGGACAGTTACGCAGCCAGCTTGGCCAAAGCCATTGAGGCTGAAGCCAAAATCAACTTATTTGGGGAGGAGGCTTTGCCCGGGGTCTTGATGGCAGCACGGACCGTCCCAGGGGTCGGCTTTGGGGGCCGCCGAGGCAGCAGAACCCTCGTGAGTCAGAGGCTCCAGCTGCAGAGCATCAAAGAAGGGAACATTTTGGCTGCGGAACAGAGATGAGGGCCTCAGGGTGGACTGTCCTTCAGAGGGGTGCCCGTTACCGTCTCTGCCGGGGCCTTGGGAGCGTGGGGAAGGAGCAACATCTGGTACGCAGTCACCAGAAAAAACACTGAAAACCGTGTCTATAGTCCCTGACTTCAGAGTCTGTGGTGCGACCAGATGTGGCCTTCTTGTGGGTCCCAGTGATAGGACCAGAGGCATCTAAATCACACAGAAAAGCAGATGAAGGTGTGGCCATGACTTTGGGAGGCGGGGCACAGAAGGGGACTAGAGACTGTGGCTTGGAAGGAAACCGCTGTGTGGGTCATTTCCTCTTCTTCACAACCTTTGTCCTGGGAATCAGCCATGCACTGTCCAGAGGCCTCAGGAGTGAGCCCTTCCCAGCGCACTCTGGAGGATGGCACTTCTTCCTGACAAAACAAGAGCATCCCCCCGGCTTCTGTGTGGTAGACGCAGGCCGTGTAGGGCCATCGGTTCTACCGTCAATGGCCCCAGAGGAGCACCCAGGAGCAGAGCACCCCAGATCGAGTTCCCCTGTCTCAAGTTCTGGTTATGACCTCGCCTTTGTTGGAGTCACGTGCTGGTGCTGGTAGGGGCAGCTCACAGGCCACTGGGTGGAGGTGACAGGCCTGGGGCTACTGTTGCTGAGGACGAGGCCTACCCTGCCCACCTCCCTATTGACTGATTCTTTGATATTTAAAAGAAGGGAGAAACCACTATAAAAGACAGGAGGAAGGAGCAGATACCAGATATTTCATTGCCAGAATTTTTAAAAAACCCATTTGGTTAGGACACACCATGATTTTACCAAGCCCAAACAGGGCCGTGATGTGAAACAGGATGTAGAGACACTGTTATCCCTGGAGGGAATCCCCTTCACATAGGAAAACCTCATCGAATAGATTCTGTTTTGTGATCTTTGCTTGACCAGTTAGAATAGCTGGCCTCCTGTTCCACAGGCGATACTCCCGCTCCTCTTCTACGCATGTCGTTTGAGACTTCTGTCACCTGTCTAGGCCATCTGGAAAATGGGGTAAGGGAGTGGGGAGTTGGATTGAATGGTGTCCAAGATTATTTCCAAGTCTGATCTTCGATTTCCTCTGAATTTCTAAGTTGGAGATAGAAAAAAAAGGACTCAGGGACCAATGTTTGCTCAGCTTTTGAGTGGTTTCTAATGGGCGTATGAAGCATTGCAGGCCCAGATCTGTGGGCTGGTCCGGCTTGTCTGTTAGAGCACTTCCTGATGGAATGCCAACCACCGAGATGCGGAGATGGTGGAAGAGGGCACCTCCGCAGAGGTGGACCCAGGGATGTGATCTGTGGGTTAGCCCGCTCCCCTCTCCCTTCTGAGTTGGAACAGCAGGTGAAGTGTGGCTTCACCGGAGCAGTGGCTGTGGTGACTTGGAAGCTGTTGAATTGCCTGTGTCTGCCCTTCAGCCCTGGTGATGAGATGAGCGAAGTGCAGGACTTTCCCTGCCTTCAGAATTCCAGGTGGTCAGCAGAGGGTAGGTTCCAAGGAGATCCTGCTGTGTCTGTTACAAGGCAGCTACTCCAGAAAGTGAATTACCTTTGTGGTGTTTGCTTTGAGGTCTAGCTAGTCCTGGTGAGGCAGCGTCTTTTCGCTGTGTGGCAGAAACCAGTGGTTGGCTGGTCCCCTGGTCTGCAGTTTACAAAAGACTTTTCCTGAGGTGTGGGGGCCTGCTACCTTCATGGTGATCAACAACTATTCAGGGTCAGCTGGCTGCCAGGCACTGGTTTAGGTTCTGGGTGGGAGTGGGAAGGAGCAGACGGCTTTTCCAGAGGAGCAGAGGGCGGTTTCACCTATGGGTTCTGCTGATGAGATGTGCGGGTCAGAGAGACTCTGCTGTCACTACTGGGTGGCCTTCCTAAATCTGAGGGCATGTTTTCTGTGTGTATATATTTTTTCCTAGCACTTGTCTCGTTTCTAAAGGGACCATATTCCTGATCAACTAGTATGCACAGAGCTGGAGTAAGGCAGAGAGACCTTGACCTCGGGGCTGGAATGACCTGAGAAGGCTCCCCAGTGAGGCCTTGCTGCGTGCAGCACACTGGCTTGGACCCCAAGGGTTGGAGAGTGCTGCCCCTGGACCACACCAGGCTGGGCTCCAGGGAAAGTCCTGAGATCACTAGTCCCCACTGGCTGATCCCAGACAGGTGGGATATACTAAGATTTAATCTAAGCTTACCTAGAAATACTGCACTTCACAAAAGGCTTCACTGTGTTTCCCTTTTTCTACTGAGGTCCATTCATTTATTCATCTCCGAGACACCACACATCCACTGTGTGCAGAGCACCAAGCTGGGCTCTGTGAGCAGTAACATTACAGGGTTTCCCTCTAATTGAGGGAGAGACCTAGGGGATGCTGATGCTAATAAATAATAGCAAAGTCAAGTGATGATTATAGAACTGCAGGCTCCAGAGGGAGGTGAATATGCTCAGTTGGGCGAGTTAAGTGTACCTCAGGAAGTTGGTGACAATTGGAGCCAACCATGGGAGGATGTTTGGCAGCTAGAACCATATTTTGCATATTCAGGAATTCAAATTTGCCTTGTTTGAGCCTGAGTGAGAATGAGAGAGAAAGGAGAGCAAGAAGGAGGTGGGTGGGCAGAGGAAAAGGAGATAATCCCATACATTCTGAAGTTTCTGAGAGGCCACCAGTCCCAGGCCCACTCACTTTATACTGCTGTGTGGTGCAGCCTGAGGCCTTCCTCAGGGGACCACATGGACAGTGGCAGGTAGACATTTGGCCACTTGTTGGCTTCAATACCTCAGTCTTGTGCCTCCTGGTTTTGCAGGTTTAGGGCTGTTGCACATCTCTGCTTCTTTCCTCGAGATTCCCGCCTGACAGGGTCCCTGTGCTGTGCTCCAGGTAACCAGGCTTCGGGACTACTGCGCACACAGCTCCACACCCAGTCTCTTCCTTGGCCAGAGGTGCTAAGATTGGAGTTCAGGGCCCTGGACACCAGGGGGCAGCAGTGTGACCGTGATGCCACTGGCAGTTCCTGAGAGAGAAGAGCTGAGGGTAAACCTGAAGGCTTTTTTGCTTCTGGCAGAGACCTCCTGCTCTGAACTCCTTTGTCTCCACTGCAGTCCTCAGCCTTGAAAGGACCACCCAGCGAACTGCTTACACGTGTGACCCCACTCAGGGTCGCAGGTCCTGCCACTGCTCAGCTGTGTGATCCTACGTAAATCACCCCGTAGAAGCGAGGTGGAGGAATGTAAGACAAGGGCCCTGTGGTGCGGATGTTCTGATTCTCATTTAAGGAGCTGCTGTGTAGTCTCTCTGCAGAAAACTGAGCAACCAGAGACTCACTCAGTGTTTGCCATAGGCCAAGGCAGTCTGGAGGACAGGAGAGGGAGGAAGAATGCTTTGATACAATGAGAGATCTTACCAGCCTGTCCAGATTTACTATATGGGTATCTTTCCACCCTAACAGTATATCCCTGAGATCGTTGCAGATTAGAGACATGTCTCTGGATGGACCTCAGGACAGACAAGTGTCAAGCGTTGAGCCCCGGCTATCTCCTGTCTGGAAGAAACTGTGGGGGTGATGTGGCCACAAAAGGGTGAGGCAAGGAACTAGCATGTATTGAGTGCTTACTGTGTGCCTGACCTGTTAGGACATTTGAGTGCCTGTTGTGTGCTAGGCATTAGTTAGGTGCTTCCAAATGCTTTCTCCTTTCACAGCAGTGCAGATGTGATGGAGTGGGCCTGGTGCAGGCTTTGGTGTGCTAAGTTCTGGGTTCAGATCGCACGCTGCCACTTATTATAAGCTAGGCGTTCTGGGGCCAGTTACTCAATCTTTCTGCATCACAGTTTTCTCATCTATGAAATGAGATTTTGTAGTCTAATTCTATGTGGGGCCACAAAATCCAGGGGAGCCTCCCCCATAGGTGATGATGTGGGTTAAAACATCCAGCACAGCACCTGGGGTGGAGCTGATGCTAAGCCACTGCTGTTTCTTCTCAGTAACTCTGTGGAAGAGTGTATCACTCTTGTTTTACAGGGATCTCCATGACGAGAAGTAAGAATCTTGAAAAGATAACTGTTATCCTAGATAGCAGGTATTGGAGGTTGTTGCCATGGGAATTGTCATGTTTGCTGTACAGCACAAAGGATCTTTTTTTTGGGAAAGAAGGGATGAAGTGAGGAAAGGGACAGAGAAGATGGAGGAAAGGCTAAGGAGCATCTGGAATTCAAGAGGTCTGAGGGAGCAAAAATAAGCTTTTCTACTAATGGCTGTCAAAGATGATGGAACCCCGGGGCCTGGTGTAGAGCCCCAATTCAGCCTTGACCTCTCTTACAGCCTAGAAGGGACGCTCTCCCTGAGATGTGCCCTGGGTGCTAAGGACAGCTCTGTCCTGCAGTGACAGTGTCTGCTTGCCTCTGGCTCTTGGATTCACATAATCTCTGATCCTTTGAGCCCCTGAGGGAAGAGGCAGTGCAGGGACAAGAGTCCATGCTACTCCCCGAAGTGGACACAGAACCCCAGGAGAATCCTGTGGGAGAGAGAAGGGAATCAGTTCTCTCCCTGAAGCAAAGGAAAGTGGCTGTGAGCACAGTTGTATATGACTGTAAGAGGGGGCAGAGCCAGACTGGGCTTCTGGGTTGGGGAGAAGGGACACACAGAATCCAGGGAGGCCTAGGGAAGTGAAGGGAGTTGTCCAAGGTCTCAAAGTGCATTAAGCCAGAGTCAGGGCCAAACGTCAGGTCTTGGCCATGTGACTGAGAGAAGGCAGGAGCCAGCTTCGGAGCTTGAGGACAAGGGCTAGTTAAAAGTCATCATTATTCGAGACTAGGCCAGCTGGGCTTTATCAGGTAGGTAGAAAGAACTGTTGTAAACCAAGGAGCTTGGGAGATTGGAATATCCGCTTGCCAGACCTAAAAACTCCTGCAGGCCCAAGGAAAGTTATTGGCTTCACTGGAAAGAATTTAAAGCACAAACTCAAATCTGCATAAGATAACCAAGAGCACAATTTTGCTCGTTATTTTCAGAGCATACACATACACATGTGTTCATTTCTATCAGACAGCGTTTTTCCTGAGCAGTATTAATAGGAATTAGAAGCCACTTCTGTTTTTCCTTTTGACTC